CAAATTGGTGGCAGAGAGTGGGACAGAAAAAAAAATGGAAACGAAAAGCGGAAAATCAAACTACAGCCTAGCAGACTTGATGGCAGCAATACAAGAACAGCAAAAGAAACAAGAAGAACGAGAAGAGAAATTACAACAGTTGTTGGAGGAAAAAGAAAAGTAACAAGAAGAACGAGAAAAGAAACAAGAAGAGAGATTACAGCATTTGCAAGAAAACCTGCAACAGTGGCAGCTCGAAGAGCAAAATAAACAAGAAGAGAGATTACAGCATTTGCAAGAAAACCTGCAACAGTGGCAGCTCGAAGAGCAAAATAAACAATTAAATATGCTTGTTTCTAGATAAGAGTAACTTATATAGAGTAGCTATTTGTGACAACAAAATAAGTATATAGTAATTTTAATAAGAAAAATACCTATTGAAATGTGAACTATATACGGATACATTCGAAGCAGAATTACAATAACTTTTAAATGGTCCGCATACCGTTTGAGGGCGCCACTTTTATAGGTTCTGCCATATCCTGTTCCAGCTGTACTCCAACTCCCAGATGTTGTCTGGCTACCCGCAGACCCTGGCCTTGAAGAAACAGACTGCCTGTCCATGGTGTTAACACCTTTCCATTCCTGAAATGGTGTCTGGCTACCTGCAGATCCTGGCCTTGAAGAAACAGACTGCCTATCCATGGTATTAACCCCTTGCCACTCCTGAGATGGTGTGTGCCCACCAGAGGATCCAGTTCCCTTTCCACTGATGGGAAACATGGCTGAGGTGGAATTGTGTGAGGTGTGTCTTCCTGGGTGGACCTGAGGTCCTGGAGTCATCAGGGTGGCTGGATGACCACAGATGAATATTCAGTAGTCTCAGCTTAGACCTGAAATCAGAAATATTTGTGTCATTAATAACTTCCACCTCTTAGAAACTTTCTGTTGTTTTTTTTGAGGTAGAAACTTAGAAAAGCAGCGAGATTCTATGCTCATTGATAGTTTGTAAAAACATTCCTTTTATAAACTCCTCGGGAGACCCTTCACACTTTATGGAAATGAAATATTGATTAAGTTGGACATACTGAAGATTGTATTTTCCCCGGTGATATTTTTCCATCTAGCAGTGCTTCCATACGATCAGCATAATGGATAACGGTCATATCAATGTCCTCCGGTTGTATATTTCAGTAAAGCAGCTAATGTCTTAGATTTACGACTTTCCTGCGCATCTTTAAGCAAAACAAAGTCATGAAACACATTAGAGTTCATTGAGGGATTTGAAACATGTGATATAGAACGGAATTGATTTTATGTTCGTCTCTTTCGCCAATTTTCTCGTGCAAACAAACTTTCATTTTGTGTTGTTGTCGGAAGCTTGTGGACACCTGGCTTGTGATCCTTCACCAACTTGAAATCCTTGCTTAATCTCTCGCTAACGGGAGCAGAAAATACACCAAGCTTCACAACCATAACCTGCCCTAGGCAGATTAGGGTGTTGATGCTGATTCCCCTAGGGTGTGGTTTCGGAGCTTCTTCTAAACACTCTGTGCAAAACACTGAACCCTTTCTTATTCTAAATGCTGCGTCCTTTGGCTCCAGAGCGTTTAACACTACCTCAGTGTATGAGTATTTCTCTTCAAAAAAAGAAGATGCATAGCTATCCAGCCACTGATGACGTTTTGGAGGAATTTACACACCCTATCATCACCGTTTACTTTTATACGTGGAACAGATATTCGTTCATCATCAACCTTAGTGCTAGAACCATTCCAACATTTACATAACAGATACTCGTTCATCATCAACCTTAGTTATGGAACCATTCTAACATTTACATAACAGATATTCGTAAATGTTGGAATGGTTCCATAACTAAGGTTGATGATGAACGAGTATCTGTCATGTAAATGTTGGAATGGTTCCATAACTAAGGTTGATGATGAACGAATATCTGTTATGTAAATGTTGGAATGGTTCCATAACTAAGGTTGATGATGAATACTATATATACCATACATATATACCAATATATCCCTCAGTACCTCTATCTATATTATACTCAGTGCCGTTGTTCTTATATCTATGTTACCCTTAGTACCTTTATGCTTATACCTATGTTACCCTCAGAACCTCTGTTCCCCTCAGTACCTCTGTTCTCATACCTATGTTATTCTCAGTACCTCTGTTCTTATATCTATGTTACCCTCAGTACCACTGTTCTCATACCTATGTTACCCACAGTACCTTGTCTTTATACCTATGTTATCCTCAGTACCTCTGTTCTTATAGCTATGTTACCTTTAGTACCTCTTTTCTTATATCTATGTTACCCTTAGTACCTCTGTTCTTATATCTATGTTACTCTTAGTACCTTCATTCTTATATCCATGTTACCCTCAGTACCACTGTTCTTATATCTATGTTACCCTTAGGACCTTTATGCTTATATCTATGTTACCCTTAGTACTTCTGTCCTTATACCTATGTTACCCTGAGTACCTCCATTCTTATATCTATGCTACCCTCAGTACCTCTGTCCTTATACCTATACTACCCTCAGTACCCCTGTTCTTATATCTATATTATGCTCAGTACCGTTGTTCTTATTTCTATGTTACCCTCAGTACCTCTGTCCTTATATCTATATTATACTCAGTACTGTTGTTCTTATATCTATGGTACCCTTAGTACCATTATGCTTATACCTATTTTACCTCAGTACCTCTGTCCTTATACCTATGTTACCCTCAGTACCTCTGTTCTTATATCTATGTTACCCTCAGTACCTCTGTTCTTATACCTATGCTACCCCAGTACCTCTGTTCTTATATCTATGTTACCCTCAGCACCCCCGTTCTTATATCTATGTTACTCTCGGTACCTCTGTTCATATACCTATGTTACCCTCAGTACCTCTATTAGTATAACTATTTTACTTTCAGTACCTCCTTTCTTACATCTATGCTATCTTCAGTCCTATACGTCTATATCTACGTTCTACACGTCTACATCTAAGCTACCTTCAATGCATCCTGGTCTACATCTAAGCTATTTTCAGTACCTACACTGTCTACATCTAAGCTACTGTTACAACAGCGGGTTCACGTGACGCTAGTAACACGTCATATTCTCGAAGGTTCGGGAAGCCTCGAGCTTTTACAAGAGATGCGGTAGTATTGTATATATAAGCCGCCAAGAACTGACGGCAACAATGTAATGTATATGTAATTGACAGTTGAGTCGAGCACGTGAGACGTTCGTTGTGAATTACAGCGTTTGTTATAGCGCGACTATGGAAATTAAGTGTATTGCAAAGTTGTTTTCAGAAAGAATAAACCAGTTTTATTTAAGAAAGGACTTGTGTCGCTAAAGTTTCATCAGAAAGAAATTTACGGAAAATTAACTAACGAACAGAGACGTAACACTACCTTCAATATCTCCTGGTCTATATCTAAGCTACCTTCAATATCTCCTGGTCTACATCTAAGCTACCTTCAATATCTCCTGGTCTATATCTAAGCTACTTTCAGTACCTACACGTCTACATCTAAGCTACGTCCAGCATCTCCTGGTCTATATCTAAGCTACTTTCAGTACCTACACGTCTATATCTAAGCTACTTTCAGTACCTACACGTCTACATCTAAGCTACCTTCAATGTATCCTGGTCTATATCTAAGCTACCTTCAGTACCTACACGTCTACATCTAAGCTACCTCCAGCATCTCCTGGTCTATATCTAAGCTACTTTCAGTACTTACACGTCTATAACTAAGCTACTTTCAGTACCTACACGTCTACATCTAAGCTACTTTCAATACCTACACGTCTACATCTAAGCTACTTTCAGTACCTACACGTCTACATCTAAGCTACCTTCAGTATCTCCTGGTCTATATCTAAGCTACCTTCTGTACTTCCACGTCCATATCTGAGCTACCTTCAGAAAATACTGGTATAAACTTGAAGGTACTAGAGGTATCTAAAGTAGCTCCTTGTGTGTATATCTAAGCTGTGAGAAGTGCTGAAGTTAATCTAGATATAGACATGTAGGTATTGAAGACAGCTTAGATATAGACATGTAGGTACTGAACACAGCTTAGATATAGACATGTAGGTACTGAACACAGCTTAGATATAGACATGTAGGTACTGAAAGTAGCTTAGATGTAGACTAGATACTGAACACAGCTTAGATATAGACATGTAGGTACTGAACACAGCTTAGATATAGACATGTAGGTATTGAAGACAGCTTAGATATAGACATGTAGGTACTGAACACAGCTTAGATGTGGACATGTAGGTACTGAAAGTGCTTAGATGTGGACATGTAGGTACTGAACACAGCTTAGATATAGACATGTAGGTATTGAACACAGCTTAGATATAGACTTGTAGGTACTGAAAGTAGCTTAGATGTAGACATGTAGGTACTGAACACAGCTTAGATATAGACATGTAGGTACTGAACACAGCTTAGATATAGACATGTAGGTACTGAACACAGCTTAGATATAGACATGTAGGTACTGT